CACACACATAACTTTCAACAGAAGAAAAAATGTTATGACATAAAAATCAGTTAAAGTACATTACACAATGCAAAAAATAGTGTATTTAAATACATCTGCCATGTAAAACATCAGCTATTTATGTATTTATTTATTATTCTTTCTTTCTTTCTTTCTTTCTTTCTTTCTTTCTTTCTTTCTGGGGGTGAGGGGTATATTCTGGATTTTTTATATCTGGATATTCCATTTGTATTTTTCACATAAAGATTTGTTTTTACAAGTCACTTCCTGTCTATCCACTGTAGTGAAGCTTACCGTGAACACACACACTCACACACACCTCCCAAGCCACCCAGATAAGTAGAGGCCTGTAATGGCTTGTTTTCTGGTAGATCTGTGCATAGCACGCTTCCCCATATCACAACAACCCCTCATGGACCTCTTCTTCTGTCTAAGCGGTCCAGGCTGCTGCAGGCTGGGATCAGACACAACAAACCCTGCCCTCCGCACCTGTTTTTTTTTACAGCACAGGGTCATCTACAAGCCACCTCATACAGCCAGCATCGTTATCAGCACTCCTCCTTTTGGAGAGCTCTGACCCAGCACTAAATATAACCTCTACAATTAGCGCTATCTTGCTAATGCCAGTCACCTCGGCCCTGCTCTGCTCTAGAAGGAGGAAAATGCTGTAATTGGTTATTTTAGGTGCGAACAAAAGAGCATGGGTATGGGACGCAGACACAAGAAGTGAAGGAGGGAGTAAGAGAGAGTCAAAGAAAAAAAATGAGAAAATGTGAGTTGTGGCGGAGTTGAGGGTTGATTGAGACGAGGAAAGAGTGAGAAAAGCGAGATGAGTTTTATAATTGGTGAGATTTGTTGGGGTGAAAGATAAGAGATGGAGAAGGAATAAGCAAGAGGAAGAAACCCAGACAGAAAGGCTGTGAAAAACAACAGTGTTCAGAAACTACCTTTTAAATGTAACTTGTAGCTTGCCAAGTTAGTCATAATTTCAAGTAGTTAAACTAGTCAACCTAACCTTTTGAAAAAGTAGTTATATTATAAACTACTACAAAGTAGGAGACCATACTGCTATTTAAAGGGATAGCAATTATTTTCATCTGCTGAACATAAGATATATTTTGAAGAATGTTGATAACCAAACAGTTTTAGTTCACATTGACTTCCATTGTATTTTTTTGTCCATACAATAGATGTAAATGGGAACGTCTCGGTTACGTATGGTAACCCTCGTTCCCTGAAGGAGAGAACGGAGACAGACGCGATCCACAGCAATGGACTATGGTGCGGAAGGGTCGATACATGACATACGCGTCCTTCAGGTCGACCTCTGCAAACCAATCTCGGGGACGGATGCACCCGAAGATGCATTCCTGCGTCAACATATTGAACGACAACCGGTGAAGGGCCCCGGTTCAAGACGGAGGGGCTGTCGCGAGGAGCATTAGTTCTGGGAACCAGGTCCGGGTAGGCCAATAGGGTGCCACCAACAGGACCTACTCCTCGTCCTCCCTGACCTTGCACAGTATCTGTGCAACAAGGCTCACTGGGGGAAACCCAT